TGATATAATTTTTTGATTGATCAATATTATGATAAATCATAAATCTAAATATAATGCTATTTAAAATTATTGTACCCTTTCAAATTCAGCTGCTGGATCTGGATGAGAAGCATCAGCATAAAGTTTATCGCGAAGACGTTGAAGTTCTTGGCGCTCGGCGCAACGATCTCGTGAATCGGCTTCAGCTTCAAGTGCTCTCTCTTCCAAACGACGTGAAAGTTCTTTACCTTTGTAATATTTAGCATCGTCTCTTTCATCATCATAGTCTTCCAGAAATTCTTTCAATCGTTTTGCTTCTCTTTCTCGTGCTTCCCGTTTTGCTCGACGTTTTTCCGCTTCTTTTTCATATTCTTTTTGTTTACGACGTTCCCGTGTTTCCCATGCTCTCAAACGTTCTTGATAAGCTGCTTCTTTTTCTCTTGCTCTTCTTTCGTTTTTTTTCCTTTCCTTCGCCTCTTCTTCTTCCTCTCTTTCACGCATAATTTCTCTTTCAGTTTTCCTCGCTTCTTCTCTTTCACGTTCTCTTTCACGTTCTCTGTCTCTTTCCCTTTCTCTGTCTCTTTCACGTTCACGCTCACGTTCTCTTTCACGATCACGATCTCTTTCTCGTTCTCGTTCTCTATCTCTTTCTCTATCTCTATCTCTATCACGCTCTCTATCACTTCTCTGACGATCCCTGTCTCGTTCCTTAGATCTTAAATAATAAATCATATAAAATCATTATTAAATCTGATCGTAATAGTAAAATTTTAAGTATCAATTCAATTTTTTTTCTACTTATTTTCTACTTAATTATATTAAAATTATAAACATATAGATATATAATTAAATATTAAATTTATGCATTATATTAGATAATATAATTTATTTTGTAATAAATAATATATAATAAATATATGTTTTATGTATATGCATATTATATATATAAATTTTAAAATGAAATTAATTGTTTTTAAAAATCATTATGAATATTATTACCTAGATTTAGACCGTCGTTTATCTCTTCTACTACTTCCAGTACTACTACTACGACCCTTATGAGATGTAGGACTACCAAGATCACCATCCTGGTCGTCTTTAGTACTACTGCCATCTCGCCTATCTCGTCGCTCTTTTTCCCGTTTTTCTCGTTCTTCTTTTTCAACAGCTTCTTTCTTCCGTTTTACTTGAGCCTTTTCCTCTTCCTGCTTCTATAAAACACAAAAATAAAAAAATAGGTGAGACTAAATAATTAATACAAAACTTATCAGGCTGTGATAATAAAACGCAAAAACTAGCAATCGTATCCTCCTGAGTTATAAAAATTAAAGGGTAGAAAAAGGTTACTGTAAGTGTAAAGTTAGTTAATGTATATAAAAGTGGTAATATCATTACACTATAATAGTGCAGTATTATTACTTTTTTAAGTTAAAATATAGATGCCCAAATACATATGCATATTAATGAAATATGAAATATCTCGTATAAAATATTCACACAAAAAATTTGTATTGTTCAAAATGTAATATATATATATATATTATATATATATACATATATATAATATATATATATACATATATAATATATATATATATATATACATATATATTTTGCTAAATAATATCGAAGTATATAAAAAGTATATTGATATTATCGACAAATTGAAAAAATTTTACTATTTGGAATAAAATATTTTATTATAAGGAAGTTTCAATTCCTTATGAAAAACGAGAAACTTAAAAATTTATTTTTTAAATTTTATATAAATAATTTTAATATCTAACATTTTATAAATTGCAATGTTGAACGATTACTAGTTGCACAAAAATTAACCACATATCAAGTATCATAATTCTGTTCATCTCAATGTAGTATACTCACTCCACTAGAGTATTCTCGGTCAGCAGCATCTTACACGAAATCTTGTTTACATATCAATTACCTAGGTGCAGGTATAAATTTTGGAAACAAGCATAAGAAATTTCTTAAGCTCTACTTAGATTAAGATACCTTAATGCTAACAGACGCATTGTAGAGGCCACCCAATGTACTTACAACATTGCGAATGTGCCTGTAAATTAATAGTGTCTAAAGCTATATAAGACTAAGAGTCGAAAGGGGTGAATATTTAGATTTCTTGTCAATACTCAATAATTATTAGAAAGTATTATACCAATCAGAAGCGGAGTCATCACGAAGAAGGGATTCCACCAAAACATCTTTCACTTTTGCCAAGAAACTGTCACACGTCTGTCAACTTTGTTTTCTTCTGGCTATGCAGCTGATGCAGCAAACTGTTGGATATCAAATACACAAAAGTTTGCCCACCCTTATCGTCCCGTATTATCAACGTAACGTCTTAGAAATAAATTAATATGGTTCATCCTTACTTGATATAATAATAACAATAATGGGTTATTGCTTGGAGAGTCCTAAATCATAGACTCTGATGAATATTATTTTTGTAACAAAATTAGCCTAACTCAATTTATTCCTTTCTGCTTATAACATTATCAATATAGCATACATACCTATATAAATTTACATAAAATTATAATATATAAGAAAAAACATTCAAAATTATGAATTGTTTTTTCTTATTTTTTAAGATTAGATATCCATACAATAACCCATAATCTTTTAAACTAATAAGGATAGAGTAACTGAGTGCATAAAAGTAGATGCACATATGAGGAAAAAAACAGACTGTTGAAACATGAAATATCAGTGGTCATAGGTATTCAGATGGGCAGTTCACTAACAAAACTACAAGAACCGAATGGTTGTGTTGGCTCATGGTTGTGGAGTTTACTCACGGTGTGAAGTTGACTTGGTCAGTCAGTGTGGTGGTACCGGAGAATGGAGGAGCGCGCACCTAGGTACTACATGTCTGATCGAGACGCTGACAGAAGCTGTTTACACAAAATAAAGACAACAACTGAACAGTCGCCATTGTGAAGACAAAATCATTTCATTGTGTGTAGGATTCAGAAAGTCTCGATCCTATTAATAATCTATCTAAGAATATATTATAAAATATGTCAGCGTCAAATTTCTTTGTTCAAAATGATATTTTGATTTTTAATCCTAAACAATGTATAAAAATTAGAAATGGTACTTTACTGATCTTCTATATATTCGTACTAAATTGCTAGACTTTAAAATAAATATAAAAATGAATCACAAATAAAATAATATGCATAATTTTTAGTATAAAAAATTAAACAAATAATAAAATAATTTAATTAAAAGAATTTTATAATTTTAAAAAATAATATAAATATTCTACAATTTTATAATAAATATAAAATTAATTATATAAGAAGAAAATCAATATTGTTTATTATTAATAAAATAATATTTTCTTAAATCATATATATATATATATATATTAAAAATATATAAATCTAATATTTTGATAATTAAATATCATAATATTTATTTATTTTCCATGACATATCTTTATCTGTATCATTACAAAAATATTTGTATTATTGTATATTTTTTCAAAATATTTTTTTTTTAAAATATTATAGAATAGAAGATAAATTATATCTTTATATAATTATTTAGTGCTAGCAATTTAGTACAATAAGTATAGAAGTAGATAAAGAAATTTGATTGTATGGAATAAGTTGTATTCAAAATACAATAGCAATAATGCTATTAGTATAACGCAGAATTATATGCGACGATTAAGAAAATGGAGTTCCAATAGAAACAGATATATTGGCTATACGGTGTCAGCATGTTGTAGAGTTACGAGATTCTCCCGTCTTAATATTGCACATTTCTTGTTTTTTCATGTTTTGTTGGTTGGATATACTCTGACTTACCGACGAGGCTGCAGCTGCCTGCGAAAATACGAGGGATGTGCTGTGATTGACTCCCTTCAGAGCCAATGAGTGAGTGAAAGAGTGGTCCCCACACACAGCATTCCTAGGCGTGTGCGTTTGCTGTGTGCGACGCACGCTGCCTGTTATTATAATTATAGCAACGAGTCACGGCTCCAATTATTTAGAGCTAACATAGCACACACGCACTTTATCACAAAATACTTAAAAACTAAAGTTTATAATTATGCACTTGTAATCCCCTTTTGCCTGCCCAAATGTATTTAATTTTTTATATAGATATGCTGCGAGTTCAACAAACAATTGTCTAACATGAATTATAGATGTAATCAAAATTAAACGCATTAAATGTTTATAAATTCATATTTACATCACATTATATTAAATTATAAAAATATCTGAGAATTTATTATGTATAAATTTTACTAATTATTATTCATCAAAAATATATTAACATTTTGTTATTTCTTTATATTTATAAAATTTTAATTTTATTTTTTTATTTGAAAAAACAAAAAAAACTCATTTATATTTATTCATATTTAAAGATAATAAAATAAGTATTACAAAGTATTACAAACATTTTCTTAATCATTTATACAAAACAAAAAAAAATAGAGAAATAATTATTAATTTCTATTAACATTTAAATATTAATCAAATGCAAAAAAAGGATTATAATAATATATGTTTGATATATGTATATTACAGTTTTGTTTTAAAAACTTTTTTTTTCAAAGAAAAAATTTTAAAAATGAAAAATGAAAAAAAAACATGTAACATTATTATGTTAAATAGAAAAATAATACATTTTTTTTAAGAAAAACTACAATATTTTACAGAATAATGTTTATAATGCTTCATAAAAAATTTATATAAATAGCACTAATAATTTTATAACAATTATTAATATTTATTTATATACCTAAATTTTTTTGCAAATTTTTTATCCAATCCTATTTGACCACAATTCTTAATACCTTCTAATATATTTTAATATATCATATTTGATAATATGACAAAAAAGAAGGGCAGAAAAATAGGAATAACATAACAAAATTTATAAAATAATTATAAAAATAATTACCTTCATAACTTCCCTGAATTTTCCAATTTCTCGGGTAATCAAGTCTCTTTTACTTTCTTCTATTTCTGCATCATCCAAGTTTAAAGATTTTGCAACCATTTTTGTTTGATGTTCTTCTATAACATATAAAATATTGATTACCATATATAATATATATAAAATATATTATATAGTTCCCTAATTTAATTAAATATATTGCTACCAACAGAATGAATACGCTACCAGGAGCGGTTTGAGCCATTTCTAGATCAGCAGCATGTTCAGCTATAATTTGATTAATACGTGCTAGTGCATCTGCATCCACTACTCTCATACCCTCATCCATGTAATCTTCACCTTCTTCTCCTTCTGTTCCTTCAATTGATGTTTCATCTTGTAAAGGTGACTGACCTCCTCTTAATTTTTTTCTTCTTTCCGCTGTAATGGAAAAAATAAAAAATCCAAAAACATGTCCATATACATATATACAATAGTGCTTGCTTAAATTCATAATAAAATCATTTGAATTAAATTATAATAATTCAATTTCAATACTTTCTAATATAATTTGTGTGCTTCAAGATCAATATAACTCAAATATATATGATAAAAATGAAAAAAAACATTTGAATGTATTTCTGAAAAAAAATTATCTGTTTTGTTTTAATTATAATACGAATTCCAATTTATTAAAATTTCAGTGAGCACTACTGTATATCTACAGAAATATTTTATTTACATATATATATATATATATATATGTAAATAAATTTACCTTTAAATTGATCCAAAACAACTTTAGCTTTTGCATCAACTTTGACAACAAGTTTCTTTGTACCTATTTCCATATCATGAAGTAATCTAACTGCTCTAAGACCTGCATCAGGACCTGCATATTCGCAAAATCCAAAAGCTTGAACTCTCTTCCATGAAAGAACATGACCACATGCACCCAGAATATGTCGAATCATCACATCAGGTGCTCTTTCCATAATGTTACCAATAAATACAGTAACTGGTGGACCAGATTCTCTTTCACGACGACGATTATTGTCATGACGGTTTTGGTTACGTGCATACCGCACAGCTGGAGCTGAGGTCTGCATCGCAGATACGGGTGTTGGAATCATCTATGTTTTATAAATGGTAGTATTCTTAATAATGCACATCTCTACTCATGCAGTCCAGAACCTCCCCTCCCCCTAATAGCATATTAATCTTTTTCTTTTTATTATTCTTTATTATAGAAGCAAAACATGCATATATTAAATAGAAAGAACTGAAGAAAAAGATTTCTGTGAAAAACATAAATTTAAAAAATAATCAATTCAATCCATTCAATTCTACAGCATAAATAGTTAATTAATATGCATTCTTTAACATTATAATTTAAATGCAAAATGTTATTATAATATACAAAATAATTGCATTAATATATAGAAAAATTTATAATTATGATATAAAGTTGGAAATATAAAGCTGTGTAATAATTTCTTTTATTTAACATGTTCATTTATTTGCACAACATTAACAAAATTAAATATTACATGCTTTTCAATTTTATTTTTTAATATAACTAAAGATATATATTCTATTTGTTAATAAAAATTTATAACATTTAAATACATTTTTATTGTTTATTTAAAAAACAAGTTAAATAAACAAGTTTAATATTATAAATAAATTACAATTATTGACTTTTAATTACATTTAATCAAATATTAAGAGATTAATATTTGACAAATATATTATGTATATTTTTATTCTCTATAAAAATAAATAAAAATTTATATTTTCTAAATTATTTTATATTAAAATTTTAGTTAAGAAAATAATTTTATTAACTTATCCCAAGTGCATAAAAAATATGTAACAGAAGATTATAAATTTATCAGTGCATAAAAGATATTTAACAGAAGATTAAAAATTTACCAATACCACGCAAAAACACGAAAAATATCATGCTTAGATAAAATATTTAATTTTATATTGACTTACATGTGCCATAGGCATTACACCACCAATAATTGGTGGAGGTGCGCCAACCATGTAAGGCATTGGTGGCATGCCTGGTATTCCCATTGGAGGTTGACCAGGATAAGACATTTCTTATTTTAAATAATACTATGGCAGTGTCCTCACTAAAATATATAACACATTAATTTAATATCTGATTTAATATAAAAAAAAATATAAAAGATAGTAAAGATTTAATTTGATTTTGAATTTAATAAATTTTATTATTGAATTTAATAAATTATTATAATTTATACTTACAATTATAATAATTTAATTTATAAAATATAGATAATAAAATGACGAAGATAAAAATTTACTAAATGTGTTAGAAACCTAATATTTGTACTTGTATTAAATAGTTAAGAATATGTATATATTTTAATTATGTTATATTTACAAAATAAAAATATCATATAAAGTGTCTTAAAAATTATCGTTAAATAACCTTTAATATATAACAATATTTCTAAGTATTCTTGAAATACAATTAAATACAAACATTAATTCAACATTATATTAATTAATATTTCATAACGAATATTTGAACTATGTATAAATACATAAATATTATTCGATAAATTTATTATATAAAAACATACTTTTCATAATAATAATTATAGATACTAGACAAGACACTAATGGATGCTTTAGTATTCTAACCATTAAATAATCGTAATGAAAGACTAATTTCATACTTACATAATATATTTGAAAATAGAAATAAAACATCAACCATCGTTTAAAAAATATTTACGTCATTTTATTAGAACTTTAGAGATAAAGAAATATTACAATAAACACATAAATTGAAACTTCCACTTTCACAATCCGTCAGCTTGTAATCACTTCTTTTCGCCCATTACGGCTTCATGCGCTGATTGCTTCTAGAAGGCTATGGTTGATGGTACATTTCTCATGTGTTCAAAAACTCATCTTAAAAAATTGTATTATATATATTTATTTATTATACGTTTGTTTCATAATTTATTAAATATTTATTATATTATATTAATGCAAAATACATTAATATTAATATTAAATGATTTAAATTATACATATTGTTTATTAATTATATTTTTTGTAAGAAAAGAATACTTAATTTTAATTCAAATTTTCATGTATTTTGTTATTATATAAAAAGTATCATTACAATGTAATATAATAAATCTATGTTTACGTATATTAATGCCAGAGAAACCGGTTTATGCATCAAATTGCATTATAATTACATCAATCTTTTTATATAGCTTTTATATATAATATTATTTGAAAATTTATTAAATATTTATAATTGCAATTCTTTTTTTTTTATTATTTTTTAGTTATCTCAAATTTGGAATATAAAAAATAATTATAAAAATTTTACATCGTTATTCAATATTTAAATAAAAATCTTTGCATAAAACTAATATGGAATTAGTTAAAATATTTAATTCTTTATTCAGATAAAAATTTATATAAATATTTGATTGATTATTTAACATTATTAATTATGATTAATTGTATTATTCATATAGAAAAAAATATTCATTAAATGTACATAAAATTTCATTATCATGTATATATAAATCCATTTTTCTTTATATTTATGAAAATGAATTAAATATATTAGGAAATAATTAAAGAATTATTAATAAAATTATTAATAAAAATGAATATATAAAAATCCTGAAAATTTTTAACGTTTTTAACATAATTTTTAATGTTCTCTATATTTAAAATTTTATAAATTTAAAACATAATTGTAAAATAAAATAGACTATTTTTAATTGTCATTTCTAAAATTTAAATATTTGGTCAAAATAATATGAATTTAAGGACGCCTTCTTTAGTTAATCGGTTTCCGTTAAACACCTTAGTTCATGAAATGGCAGTGTGGTGCATTCTTACACTAGGTGAAATCTTTTCGAGCATTAAGTTTCAAAACACAAAAAAGAAATACTTTAAATTATCGAAGATTCCAATGTGCCAGATAATTAAAGAGATTGTGTGCAATGTCCTCTAATTTCTCTTCTGAGGTATACGAGCTAGAATGAAACTGTATTGGTGTTTTTCATTAATTATTTTAGTTGACAGTTGAACATGGAATCCTTAAAATTAGATTTTTATTCTTATTTAGAAGGATAGAAAATAATATTATTTTAAAAATAAATTAAATGAATTATATATGAACTTTTGAAAAAATATAATAAATAATAATATAGTAATTTTTATAGTAATATTTATGTAATTTATTAATAACCTTATAAGTATTTAAATAATATATATTTTCTGTTATATTAGTAACGATTATTGTATAATAACATAGAATGTACAATTCCATTTTTTATTTTTATATTTTAGTATTAATATTTCATTATTACATAGTAATGCATGTATTAAATTGTTATTTAATTAAAAAATAAATAAATTATAAATTTACGTTTATTATAAAAAAATAAATTATTTGTTAGAATAGGATGTATTCAAATATTATTAATTTCAAAATATATGTTATTCTGATGTAATAGTAATGAAAATTTTCATATAATGCAGGTAATGAAATCTTTTCTATGGGTAAAATTTATAAAAAAATTATTTTTTTATATTTTTAATACATAAATATTTTTACATAATTAATGATTTGATACATATGTATATACATAAATTTATACATTTTAAATTTTTAATTATATTATATCTTTCTTTAATTATTATATTTATATTAAACATTTTTATTATTATATACATAATAGATATAAAATTAATATAAATAGAAATGTAAAATATAATTTACTTTTTTTAAATTTAAATTTAATGTTTTAATAGGTAATGTTTTAATATATATATAAAATAATTTTTAATTAATTATTTATATTTTATATACAGAGGTATAAATGATATGATATATAATTAAATATCAAATATTGAAAATATTTTTAATCTTTTTATTTATAAATTTCTTTTGAACTTACATATAAAATGTGATGAAATATATAGAAGAAAATTAATTTTATTTCATTTTAAAATATGTCTGAATGTCAAAATAATTTACAAAAAATATATAATCTTTCAGTTTTAATAAATTCAGTTAATATTTTAATCATATGTAATGTATAAATTAATGAATTTTTGAATTTTATGTAAATAACTACATAGTGATAATGGCACCAAGACGAGTTGAAGAAATACCTGTTAAAAGAGTAGCAGCATTAGGTTGCAAATTACCTGATCAATTACCAGCTGGAGAAATATTAATAGATATTACACAGAAGAAATGGAGATTAGGACACACAATAGGATATGGAGGATTTGGTGATATATATTTAGGTATTATTTATCATTATAATATTTTTTTTTTAAATAAAAATAATAATAATAGTAATAAACAAAAAATATATTGTAATTATTTTTATAATATTAAAAGTTAATATATTACTTAAAATAAAAATACATAATGTATTTTGATTTTTGTTAAAATATATTTTTAAATATTATATCATTATATTATAAATAATTAAGAATATATTATATATCTTTTACTATTAATTTTAAAATTTTATATTATAGCATCAAATAACATTAATGTTCCTGTTGAACAAGATGCAAAATATGTAATAAAAATTGAACCACATAATAATGGTCCATTATTTGTTGAAATGAATTTTTATATAAGAGCAGCTCGTAAACATATGAGTAAGTAATTATATAATATATGTATAATATATTTTTAACTCATATTTTATATCTATATTTTTATTATAAATTTTAGTTGATAGCTGGTGTAAATCTCAAGGGAAAAGACGAATAGGTGTTCCAACATATGAAGGATCAGGTTCTCATATGTACCAAGGACAAAAATATAGATTTTTAGTGATTCCAAGATATGGCATTGATATTGGAAAATTATTTGTATCAAATGGAAGAAAATTACCAACCAAACTTGTTAACAGGCTAGCTGTTCAAATGGTATTTAATTATAAAATTAATGAATTTACAAATTGAATTAAAAAATATTCTGTAATTCATAATTTTTAAAATTTGTCACATCTATATAGTTGGATGCACTTGAATATATTCATAGTCAAGGATATGCTCATGCAGATGTTAAGGGATCAAATATTTTGTTAAGTGAAGAAGATGGTACTACAAGAAAATCTCAAGTTTATTTAGTTGATTATGGTTTGGCGTATCGTTTTCGTACAAATGCAGGTATACATAAGCCATTTGTTCATGATGAAAGAAGAGCCCATGAAGGAACATTAGAATTCACATCAAGAGATGCACATCATGGAAGTAAGTTTTTTGTAAATTTGATATATATATATATATATTTTTTTTAAATCATTGTGTTTGATGATAAATTAATATTATTATTATTAGCACATTCAAGAAGAGGAGATTTAGAAACATTAGGTTATAATATATTACAATGGTTGTGTGGTAAATTACCTTGGGAAAAAGAAAATGATAATGTAACATCAATAATAGATCCAGAAGAAGTTCATACACAGAAAGAAATTTTACTTTCAAATTTACCATTATTTATGCATAAATGTTTTCCTTATAAAAAGGAACCTCCTGGTAAGTTATTAAATTATTTATTAAATATATATTCTATAATAATATTTTTAAATTTAATTTTATTTAAGTTATTACAAAAAAATAATGTACATTTATTTTATTATCTTAAATAAAATTCTATTTTAGAAATATTAATAATTTATAAATTAAAGAATGATTTTAAATTAAGTATTAATAATTAATATTTTTTATTAGCTGCCATTATGGAATATATGAAATATATTACCGAATTGGGATTTGAAACTAAACCTAATTATTCCTATCTACGTAGTTTATTTCAGTCTGGTTCTAGGCAAAAAACTGATGTTCCTACATGTTTACATAATATAAGAGAATCTAACGAAAATATTTCTTATCCCATATCTTTCAAACGACCATACTTACGAGAAAGAAAACCTTGCAGACCTGTTAATGGCGAGGTATTTTATTACTATACTCTAATATTAAATTTTATTTCATTATGATAATAAATATTATTTTTAGATACGTGTGACGCGAAATACACAACCGAAATATCCAGTTGAACAAAAAGAATTTTGTTGGGAAGCTGTATTGGCACTTCATCCTGATAAACTTGCAAAAATTAGTATTCAAACTCCACCTTCACCACTTACACCACCTCCATCTCCACCTCCTCCATCCTTGCCTACATATGCCATGTTAAGAGTAATTGAAAGAATGAAAGAGAAACAATCAGGTGCATTTCGACACAAATCATTACCAAAATCTCTAGAGTAAATATCAATTTAATTTATTAATTATTTGACATTTTAATATATTAAATATAATAAAAATATAAAATAACAACTATATATTTTTTAAAACAGTGAACTCAAAACAAAATGGATGACACCAGCCATGGAACAAGTAGTTGAATTAAAAAAGAAAACTTCTTTAACAGCGCTTTCTTTACGTAAATCTTCACCATGTATGACACGATCCCGTGGAGCTCAATTAAAACGTAAGTTTTTATGTATTTTTTTATAAATGTATTATGTAATTGATTATTTTTTTATAAATATATATGAAGTGTATTAATTGTAATCTTTTAATTTAATCATATATCTGTTAGGACTTGGAAATGAAAAATCTTATAAACGAATACAAAGCAAGAAAAGAAGAAAATGTACATCAACAGAAGTATGATAAATTTCTTTAAATATCACATGTCTTCATTCCTTGGACAATGGAATCATTAACAAATTATCTAAATAATGGATATATAATTAAGTATTATTTCATATTAGTTTATTTAGATTTTGTAAGAATATACTCTTCATTAAACTCCTGTTTAAAGGACAAAATTTCATTTATTAGGAATGCCTCGGATGTATTTAGTACTACATCAACTTTTGTAAGA